CATCACTGATAATAATCAGGGTCAACTAAAATCCTTAAATAAATGGTCACTCGTATTCGGCATAACTTTAGTGTGGGGTCTCATAGGGATCGCCAGTTTTAGGTCAGGCAGGGAGGGAATGGTAGTGCTAGCATTTCACATATTTCACACAGGATTGGCATTTCAGTCAATTTTACTTGATATGTATATTCAAAGTAATGTAGCCTTCGCTATGTCCCGTAAAGGCACCGGTATTTTTCGGAGGATGCTATTTGTTTTAGCTATTATATCGTGTATAGTAATGGTGGTGGCGTTGATCTGGTGCGTATTCGTGATGTCCGGGGATTATATGGATTTTATGGATGTTAATAAAAGGATTAACTGGAAAAGTTATGAGCCTGGTTATCTACCACATGTTATATCAGCTCTGGGTGAATGGGTGGCAATATTCATGGCAGCCCCCTATTTTTGGTCATTTATATCGGAATTCAGACAATATTCTGTTCCCAAAGATTTTGGTACTTATCGTAAAGAATTGCAAACAGATGTCTAATTAATCTTGATATCTTGATATTTTGAGTATTTTATACTTATATATGTACCAGTATTGTATTTATTTATAATCAAAAAAATAATATATTTGTATATTTTTTATTTATATGCTGTTAATAATTTTGTTACCTATTTATAATTAATAAATGTGCCTTTTTGAATTTATATAAATTATGTTGCGTAATATAGTTTATTATTAATGAATGTTATTTATAAGTAAGAAAATTACTTCATTTTAATAAATAATTCCTTAATGATTAATTATAACTAGATCAAATCATAGCATAATATTGTAAGAGATGCATAATATAAATTACAAATTTAATGCCAACTAATGCTCCAAATTGTAAACACATTTTAGGATCACCTTATAAATAGCTTTACAAATTGTTATCCAGATTAATTTCAGCACTCAATACTCGACAACTTTATAATAATGAAAGTTCAAGCAATTTTATGCATCATATTTGTCTGTATTATAACGACTGGTGTATCACAAGACCCGGGTGATGGTGGTATGGGTGGTGCCATCGGCTCAATACCCGTGATAGGACCGGCTATCCAGAGTGGTCTCAATGGGATACCAGGTTTGGCATCTGGAGGTTCTGGTGCGACAAATAGTGGCGATTCTGGATCTGATGCCAGCGATTAGTCTTAAGTTTTAAATTTAGTCTTATTTAGAGATAAGTTTTATTTGTTTTTACGAGAAAATAGAAATTATTCAAGAAATATAAAATATGATTTAAAATACTGTATATTGTTGGCTAGTATATTTCTATTATTTATTAAATATGCTTAGTATGTGCATAATAATTGAAAATTTTAAACTTAAAATAAAATTATAGTTATTTAATTTGATTTTCTTTAATGATTGACATGAATGATGAATTAAAATACAATTGGCAATGAGATTACAATATTTATACACAATTATTTTATTGTTTTCATGATAAATGATGAATAAATGATAGGTTATACTGTACTAGTTGAATAACACGTTATAAGTAATACAATATGTTCACTTATGGAAACTTTAAAAAAAATAATTTTCTTAACATTTTAACTCCGATATTAATCCGAAGTTACAATAAATATTGTTTATATTATATATTAATGTTTCAATAAATATTATTATACTATTCTAGACGTTAAGAGAATTATTGTTAATCATCATTAAAATGAATTAAATCATCAATAGATTTATATAAATATTAATAATAATAATACTATAATAATTATCACATTAAGATTTTACGTAACTTAAGAATTAATTATATTGCTAAATCTATCAATAAATAAATCGATATAAATAAACTAATAAAAATTACTTAACCATTAATGTACTATAATATACTGGTTATCACAAGTAGACCTATTGCTAGTACTGTATATAAATGTTTGTGTGTAAGGTTCTCATTATGAAGTAAGCTCCCTGTCCAAGTACAATTTATGAATAAACTAGTAATTGTTAACTAGTTTATATTAAATTGATTCAAAATGAAGTATGTCATATTTCTATTGTTAGTGGTTATATATGCTGCAAATGTTTGGTCGCTCACTACAAGTAAACCTAAAACGACAACAACTCTGACCACTACTACAACACAAATGAATACAAATACAACAAAACCGACACTAAATTGAACGCAAACTACAATGAATTGCATGAATAACACTGATATTGAATGTGGATGTGATTGGCCCGGAGTATTAGATTCATACAACTTAATTGTAAAATTGCATTAAAATAGTAATCATATTTTTTTCTAAGTTTATTATATTTTAAGATTAGTGTTGGTGTATTGCTTAATGTACCGGTATATTTTTAGAATTTAAANGTACAACCTATGAATGAAGTAATCAAATGCAGGTTTTGTTTTAATATCAAAATGTTAGGCAAATGTGAGGCTCCTTTAGATGTCTTTGAAAATCCCCTCAAAGTTATAGTAATTTACTTGAAATCCTTCTACCGTTTAGCCATTAGAGAGATACACCACTCATAAAAAAGTAGTTAACCTTAAAACTAAATTGTTTTGCAAATAGTTTTTGTGCTCATATAATGGCTGATAGTTAACTGAAAGTAAATGACAAAATCGGAAAAAGTAAAACTGCTATTTTAGTTTAATTTGCAATTAGCGTTAAATTTTGTCGCAAATATGTTTGTTTTTTATTGATTTAGTGTATGATATAGTGGTTTGTAAACTACATTACATACTTCGGAAATGGTGTTCCCACTGTACTGCCTTCCCATCATAATAGGGATTAATATTATTGTATTTCCACTGATAATGTAAGTATATTACTGTTTTCATACTGTTTTAAAATACTTTTAATTTTTGTTTCATATAAATAATTATAATTTATTTTACATTCACTTTTATTATTACTTAAATAGTAATAAATTATACTTAAATAATATAACTTTATGTAATTAATTTAAATATAAAATGCTACTTATAATTTTACCATAAATTATAAATATAAATAGTTTAGGTCATCATGATCAAATTAAAATATGTTTATTGTTAAAATGGTAGCTGGGCACTATCTGTACACAATGGACACAGTGAACCAATATTTCAATACCTGAGTGACCTGGGTGCAATCCCATCGGAGGCCAATATATTTTCATTAGTAATGGCCACCGAAGCCGTATTGGGAGTCATATTCGTATTCATCAGATACGCGGCCACGAAGTCCTACATATACTTTAATAATAACAACATCACTGATAATAATCAGGGTCAACTAAAATCCTTAAATAAATGGTCACTCGTATTCGGCATAACTTTAGTGTGGGGTCTCATAGGGATCGCCAGTTTTAGGTCAGGCAGGGAGGGAATGGTAGTG